AAGAATTCATTTTGCACGCGCCTTTTTTCCTGGATTATTAATAGTTTGTGCATTATGTTCTGCTTCCATTACAAGACGGAATCTGTCCTTTCCACTTGAACTGAAGCGAAAATCAAATCAACATAAGGATAACAAATGCCCTAGAATTATATCTTTATCTCCGTTAAGAATAAATACATGTCGACTATCCATCTTTTCAAGTTGAAAGAAGATTAGACTTTTAAACTGAATATGAAAAAGAACAAAGAAACAAAAAAAAATCCCCCGGGTCAAATAAAGAAGACATCTTTTGTTTTTTTTAATTATTTCAAACCCAGCAAAAACAATAATGCCACTAACATGCAAGTTGTTACGGGGACTGGAAGAGACTGGGAATATTTTATTAAGGAGAAAGAACAATAAAAGAAGAGTTTTCAGAAAGACAGAGAATGACGACTGACGTTGCATATAAATGTTTGAAAAATAAAAGGAGAGAGAGAAAATGGCGCTTGAAACAGGAAAGGAGTTTAACGCGCAGTCGAGAAAATAAACTATCAGAACAGAACGTATGCTGACGTCTAGCTCTTTGTCTATATTTCTGAGATGAGGTATTATGTACACTATTTACATTATTCGGACTATTGTCCTCATCTTTGTCGCCATATTTATCACAACGTTTCAAATGCAGGACGACACTTCTCAGATATTTCTCCCGAGTAAGACACCCCCACACCATAGAGGAGAACATAACTAAAAACTGTGTGTACGCTATCCCGTGCAGCTGCGGAAAGAAATATAAAGGGCAGACAGGCCGCCCCTTAAGGTAAGGCTTCAAGAACACCAAAAAGCTGTAACACGAGGGGAATTGGAAAATTAGGCGTGGTTGACCAAATATGGAGAGAAAACAGAGATCACCGCCCTTTGTGGGATCAGGTTGAGATCATAGACAAAGAACACCATTGGAAAATTCGTAAACTTAAAGAATCAGCACATATGCTAGACCAAAAAAATCTCCTGAGCCGACCAAGCATAGAAATGAATACAATATGGGAACCAGTAATAAAGAGTCCCAAAGAAAAGCGATAATGACAACAAAAATTGCAATATGAGCTCTGATAAAAAAAACATGCAATGATTACAATATGAACACTGGTAAGAATGGTTACTGAAAACATTAGTTTTATAATACCCAGAAATTTATACACAGCTGTCCTCAAGGACACATGGAACAATGGATAAAGACGTTAGTTAGTTCTAGTGAAAGATCCCGGTTAAGGCAGTAGAGAATTAACAGGAGATAACTGATAAATGGCATCCATTAAACATGGCACGTGGAACTAGATTGCAAAATAAAGCGAAGGGGCGGAGCGTACAAAACGAAACGTTGTAATAAATATGGCGACAAAGATGAGGAGAATAGTCCGAATAATGTAAATAGTGTCTAGCTATAGCTGCAGTAAAACGATGAAGTCTTGTTGCAAATCAAGTTGTACACTTACAATTATACGATCGAATTAATAAAGAAGAGACGTCATTAAAACAAATGTCATAAAATATGAATAGAAAAAATCGGGTAAGCCACGGCGTTGGGAGAATGGTTGAAGTAATGATACAATGTCAGGACATAGAACATTACAGACTCTCCTTTGGATTTTACCGAGAATCTTGAGATATAACAGCCTGCGTAGGCCAGGTAGGACTGCATTGTTCAATGCAAAGACGAATGGTAAATATATAAATGTGCAAGATGAATACAGACGAGAATAACTTTTTTTGTTACGACTCGGTGAATCAACCTTCTTAGCAGCAGGCGTGGAAATTGATTCTATATAATCGTTTCACTTCACGTCAATAGAAAACGTGAGACCACGATCGCACAATGAGTTGCTCTCCTGGAATTTAGCATCAGCCAAGCACATGGAGGGAAAACATTGTTTTCTATGACGATTAAAAGACAGCAGATTTGGATAGAATGAAAAATATCAGTAGATCTATAAGAAGGGAAAACAAACGAGATGGACATACGGAAGAAGAATTTCCAAACGGAAGGAAGTATTAACAAAAGTCAAGAAGCAGTGAAAAAAAAAATCCATATGCTTTATATCACGAGACCCATGGACCGGTACCTTGTACCACGTTGATAGTCCATGGTAGAACCAATAAAGAAGAACTCGAACACAGGTATGGAATAACACAGATATATTACAAACAGGAATATATACAGAGAAATAGAAGTGTTAGTATGAACAATCAGGTTTAGTAGAGAGAACAATGTAGTCTCGACCAGTATCACTATTCCAATGTCTTGTAGTAATTTTAAAACCTTGCTCTCTGTTATGGTCCGGTTCCTTGTGCCACGGTGATAGTCCAAGGTAGAACCAATAAAGAAGAACTCGAACACAGGTATGGAATAACACAGATATATTACAAACAGGAATATATACAGAGAAGTAGAAAGTGTTAGTACGAACAATCAGGTTTAGTAGGGAGAACAATGTAGTCTCGACCAGTATCACTATTCCAATGTCTTGCAGTAATTGTGTGAACGCGACTCTGTTTCAGACTGCCTCTGACTCGACTCTTGACTCCACTTGAACTACTGACTGATTGAACTACTGACTGACGATATTCAGTCACACCCCTACGAGGGTTTCATGTGGCACAAGGCCTTTTTAACGTGGGCATTCCGAGCCCGTTGGCTCGGCCAAAAATATGCCCATTGAACCCGTATAAACGGGTTCAGGGCCGGTTTTACCTCCCCGAAGGAGACTCCGCCCTTCGGCGTAGCCTCCTTCGGGTTCCTCCCGTCCGTAGGAAGAGAGTACAACCGAACAGTCGGTTCAGACTTGAACTCCTGACGATATTCAGTCACCCCACCCCACGAGGATGTCATGTGGTACAAGGCCTTTTTAACGTGGGCATTCCGAGCCCATTGAACCCTTATAAATGGGGTTCAGGGCCGGATTTACATCCCCGAAGGAGACTCCGAACCTTCGGCGTAGCCTCCTTCGGGTTCCTCCCGTCCGTAGGAAGAGAGTTCAACCGAACAGTCGGTTCAGAAAGTACTGGGTCGACTGACTAAAAAGTGATTTTCTAAGCCCTACTTAGATGTGGCACAAGGCCGAATGTATGGGGTACCTAGTTAGGATTGAACTCAATACTCAGTTGTAATTGATCTAGGAAGACAAGCTTTCTAACCATTACACCACGTTGAGGTGCCCTTTTTTTCCAAGCGTAGATTAGATGTGGCACAAGGCCGAAATTAGGGGGTACCCAGTGAGAATCGCACTCACTACCCAGTCGTAATTGTTCTAGCGAGCCAAGCTTGCTAACCATTACACCGCCTCGAATTGCCTCTAAACTACTGACTGACTTCTTGCCTACTCCTGAGGCGCAGTATTTATTATGTATGGAATAGTCCATTATTATTATTATTATGGGTAAGGTCCCATAACAATAACGTATCAGGATCGTAGAATTACCACATGCAGGTATTTCCTGCCCCAGTCAGCATGACAGAGCAAAAAATTCTACAAACTGGTTTGACTTCAGCGTTTACGTCTCCTAGACTGGTTGCCAACCCGGGTTATAGGAGATAGAGAAAAGATGGCTGCATACTTCTATTACTTACTTAGCGAATATAAGGAACTCGACTTGGATTTGAACTTGGCTCTCCGATCCCTCAGTCCGTGCCGATATCGATTCCTTCAAGGCCCCTCTATATTTTTATCTTCTGGTTTAAAATACGGTAAATCTTGATGTAATTGAATAACCTGCCACCCCCATGAGTGGCGGCAGTATAGGTGGTAACCGCCTATAAGTCTCCGTTAGAACAGCGGACAGCAGTGTCGAACCGGGATCTGTTAATCAGATCTTGGCCGCTGTCAAACTCTCTGCCTTTGGACAGAGAGAAACCCGGACGAGGCTATGCCGAAGGGCGGAGTCTCGCTCGCGCAAGTAGACAGACCCGAACCCGTTTATGCGAGGTTACGGGGAATTTTTGGCCGAGCATACGGGATCGGATTGCCCTACGTTAAACTCGTCCCTGTGCCACATCCTTCCTCGTGGGGAGTCAGGTAAATACAGTCGATCTCGGATCTCCGTGAACTAGCGGCCTTCCGATAGCAGCACGCACACAACTGTACTGACTTGTGACGAGCGTGTACATAACTATTACTTCCTTGCTTGTTGTACTGTTTTCTACAATAAACCTCTTACTACTTATTCACTGTGTTTGTCCATTCCATATTCCTATTAGAACGGAATATTAAAAAAAAGTCTATAGAGGCCACTTCCGATAAATGTCTTTATAAGAGGTCTATCTCACTATCTATTGGAAGAGAGTTACTATCTCTCTCTTATCCAAATCTCACTGTTATCTCTCTGTGAAAGTCAGTTAATATCTATCTAGTCATGTGTCTAACTGCATCAGTTAATATCTGTCTGTCTCTCTTATCTATCTCAGCAAGACAGTTAATGTCTCTTATCTATCTCACACTCTATCTCTGCGAGTCACTTAATATCTGTCTATCTGTACGTCAGTTAATATCTGTCTCTTCACTATCTCACACTCTATCTATCTCTGCGAGTCACTTAATATCTGTAAACCAGTTTATCTTCGAATAACGTCAGTTAATATCTGTCTTATCTATCCATATGTGCAAGACACTTAACTCTCTCTTATCTATCTATCTATCTATCTATCTATCTATCTATCTATCTGTCTGTCTGTCTGTCTGTCTATCTGTCTGTAAACCAGTTTATCTTCGAATAACGTCAGTTAATATCTGTCTTATCTATCCATATGTGCAAGACAATTAATAAATCTTATCTATCTATCTATCTATCTATCTATCTATCTATCTATCTATCTATCTATCTCTGCCTGTCTGTCTGTAAACCAGTTTATCTTCGAATAACGTCAGTTAATATCTGTCTTATCTATCCATATGTGCAAGACACTTAACTCTCTCTTATCTATCTATCTATCTATCTATCTATCTATCTATCTATCTGTCTGTCTGTCTGTCTATCTGTCTGTAAACCAGTTTATCTTCGAATAACGTCAGTTAATATCTGTCTTATCTATCCATATGTGCAAGACAATTAACTCTCTCTTATCTATCTATCTATCTATCTATATGTCTGTCCGTCTGTAAACCAGTTTATCTTCGAATAACGTCAGTTAATATCTGTCTTATCTATCCATATGTGCAAGACACTTAACTCTCTCTTATCTGTATCTATCTATCTATCTATCTATCTATCTGTCTGTCTGTCTGTCTGTAAACCAGTTTATCTTCGAATAACGTCAGTTTATCTGTCTTATCTATCTATATTCAAGAATAACTCTCTCTTATCTATCTATTGCTATTTATCTATCTATATTTGTCTGTCTGTCTGTTGTAAACCAGTTTATCTTCGAATAACGTGTGCTATTTACTATATTTTTCTGTTAGTTTTTAGGTGACGTAGTTTTTTTTCTGTTATATGGCAAAGTTCTTGTTTTATGATACTGTAGTGTCAGTCCAAAAAGGCTGGAAGGACGTGTCTCTGCACGATCTGCTGGCTTCATTCGTTTGAAGCCATTTCTAATTACTGATATGCGAAGGCGGCTGTATAACAGTTGGCAGTTCCCATATTTCTGAACGAGTTTGGCGTCATGCCTGACACACAGATGAAAATCTTGATATGAGCCTTTCCATAATGGTTATGTCTCTTATCCACCCGAGACGAGACTATTTAAGAACATGACTCAGGTTCTTAGTCATACGGAATAATGGCGGATTCAAGAATAAATCCATTAATTCTTTAGAAACTACTCTGTTTACGTTGAAGATATGAAAACCAAGCAATACACTTGCAATTGTCTCCAGAGACAGGCATTTCGTATAAATGTTAAATAACCTCTCCTTTGCTGCGCGCGCGGATACACACAGGCACATACACACAAATACAGACACATACGCACAAGCACACGCACACACACACACATATATATATATAGGTTACTTGTAATTGTGTATTATTGAATGAAACAGTAAAAGATAAAAACGGTTATATTTTAACTTTTCTTGCTTTTGGAACAAACAGCTTAAACTAGATTGTAATCCGTGAAAGAAATCGTAAATTCTTATCTTAATCATTTATTTCATTTCTCTTTAAGCCTCCTCCCTTCCAATATATATATATTATAAATTAATTGATTTAAAATATGTTTTTTTAGCTACACAGTTCTAACCATGTTTCAAAAATGGAAGCTAAAAGCCACGAATTTTTGAAACATGGTTAGAACTGTGTAGCGAAAAAACCGTATTTTAAATCAATTAATTTACAATATTAATGCTCTGTAAATTTACATTGAGCACTATTTTGTAAAAATAAAAATATCTATAAGAACACCGGATTATATATCTTGCTGTTCTTTCTTTATATATATATATATATATATATATATATATATATATATATATAGAGAGAGAGAGAGAGAGAGAGAGATATTGTCTGTGGATGATAATATATATACATGCTTCCCCCCCACCAATAAAAATGACTTGGGTTGAGCTCTCGGAGAGAAAGTGAATTTGTAAACAGTGACTATTACTGCTGCAGATGCAAGACTCTCCGTTATGATGAATGGAGTTCTCCACTCACTGGGGTGTTTACCTAAAAATAAACACGTCTAAATTCATCTGCAACACAACCGTTCGTCAATGGGTTAGGAGTAGTGTCTCTGCCTAATACCAAATCAGTCGGGTTTCGATCATGGCTTGAGGGAATTGGATGTCTAGCCACATAACTCTCCCTCTGTTTATTTCAGGCATCCGCTGATGATGAACACAGGCGTGCTCGAAAATTCCGAACTTGGAACCCCAATCGCCGTGTTTCATTTTTTTTCTCAGGGTTAATATTAATAAATGTTTTTCGTACTGATTTCATGGGTACACTTTCGTTTAACCAACTTCTCTACTCTACATTATAAACTATATGAAACATCCGTGGACTGTTTTTTCTATCTATCTATATATATATATATATATATATATATATATATATATATATATATATATATATATGCAATTCATTATTATCTATCTACATGTGTTTCAGTTAATATCTATCTATCTATATATATATATGCAAGACAGTTAATGTTTCACTCTTGTCTATATCGCACTCTTATCTATCTATCTATCTATCTATCTATCTATCTATCCTTGCAAGTCAGTTAATATCTATCTATATATCCGTCAGTTAATATTTATCTCACCTATCTATATATGCAAGATAGTTAATAACGTTCTCTTATCTATATCTTACACATATCTATCTATATATCTATCTCTGCAAGTCAGTTAATATCTATATATCTATACTTACATGTCAGTTAATATATATCTACGTATCTATCTATATGTGCGTCAGTTATTATCTATCTTATCTATCTATCTAGGCAATTTAATATCTATCTCTCATCTATCTCGCAAACTTATGTATCTCTGCAAGCCAGTAAAAATATCTATCTATCTATCTATCTATCTATCTATCTATCTATCTATCTGTCTGTCTGTCTGTAAACCAGTTTATCTTCGAATAACGTGTGCTATTTACTTTACTTTTTGCTGCTGTTGAAAGTCCTTAACCAACGTAGTTTTTTCTGTTATATGGCAAAGTTCTTGTTTTATGATACTGTAGTGTCAGTCCAAAAAGGCTGAAAGGACGTGTACAAGACAGTTAATATCTATCTACCTCAGCTATCTATCTACGCAAATCAGTTAATATCTATCTCACTTATCTATCCATCTCTGCAAGACCGTTAATATCTATCTATCTATCTATCTATCTATCTATCTATCTGTGCAAGAGGGTTAATATCAATCTACCTCAGCTATCTATCTACGCAGATCAGTTAATATCTATCTCATTAATCTATCCATCTCTGCAAGACAGTTAATATCTATCTATCTATCTATCTATCTATCTATCTATCTATCTATCTATCTATCTGTGCAAGAGGGTTAATATCGATCTACCTCAGCTATCTATCTACGCAAATCAGTTAATATCTATCTCACTTATCTATTCATCTCTGCAAGACAGTTAATATCTATCTATATATCTATTAATCTTTCTGTGTAAGCTAGCAGATAGCTTGTAAGCTTTTTTTATTTTTTCCTGCTGTTGAATGTACTTAAGTGACGTAAGCGGTTGTATAAAAGTTGCCAGGTTATATTTTCCTTAACGGATGAAAAAAATTAGAAAAAAAACAAAAAAAAAACTAATGCTTCACTTCTGCTTATAAAATGGATTTTGAAAATTAAAAATTCTCCACTTCACCTTGATAAAGATCCTCAGGGGACACGTGGTTAATGTAATATTTTCCATTTTGTCTTTATTCATATAGTCTTTTTTTTACATTTTTTATATTTTACTTATATCCGGATTATTACGCACACGCTTGCACACACACAGAGACAAAAACACACATACACACTCAGACGCGCGTGCACGTACACATACACACAAATATACCGGGTCTAACAGCAATATTGTCCAAATCGTGTAACACCAGAATGCTTAATATAGAAAAATCGCTAAAATAACTGAGTCTCTTTTCCCCATGTTTTCAGATAAGACATTTAGACATCTTGACACAATGTGTCGTAAGAATAACTGAAAAATCTTTGAGTTATTCAGCTAGAAAGACAACAGGTTAAAATCGTTTTGTGTCATCCCCACTATGTTTTTCCCAACTGAGTAATGGTGAGAGGAAAAAAGATCATTTAGACCTTCAGTAATGGTAGCAACATTCAGACTCTTGCTTCCATCTTCAACGTCCATTCAAGAACCATCAAGAGAACGGCGAATAAGTTTAAAAAGAAGGGAGAAAGAAGGGCCATAATTTCAAGTTAGAGCCAAATACATTCTTATTGTTCAAAGTAGAGTCCAATAGTGTCAGGAAAACCTCGGAGAATTCCAGTAAGATATATTTAATCATTTTTAAGATACAACATTTCGAAGCTTAATCTAAAAATTAAACAGCTTTGCAATTACAGCCGGTATATACTAGGATTAATATAAGTAAAAGCTTTGTTTCTCGTCAGGGGCTATCACCAATTGACTGCTTAGACTTCTCGATTCCCCCCACCACACACACACACACATATATATATATGAAGAAAAATATACGGAAAAAACAAACAAAAATTCTTATATACAATTATGCTGCTTTAATGTTAATATGTCAACGTCGGACGTTTCGGTCTAATAAACCATCTTCAGGACATATTCATAAAATATAATTAACATTATCAATTCAACATGACAAAGACGTCCGACGTTGATATATTAACATTAAAACAGCATAATTGTATATAAGTTTTTTTTGTTTTTTTTATATATATTTTCTTCATACTGTCGGATCTATATCCATATATTTACATTATATATATATATATATATATATATATATATATATATATATATATATATATATATATATATTGTAACCTAGGTAAGTTTACTGAACAGAATGATCACACGAAGGTTGGTAATGAACGATAATACTTAGGACAAGATTCGCCAGCGGTGTGTAGAAGAAGTAGGCAACTACTAGAAACGAGTCAACTGAATTCCACAATGAATCTCCAACTGCAGACCAACATACAGTATTTACTAATCTTTTTATGTGAATGGGGATATTCCCATTATCGTCCATAGGTATGCTACAACATAAATATATTCACCCAGGTAAGAATGAGAACGAATAGAGTATAATTCCAACGTTGGTAACATTTAATTTAATAGAAGGCTCAATACAGTGTAGAGAAAACGTTATCTCTTTTATCCAAATTGATATTGTGGATTTTCACCCTTCCATTTCCAAGAATTTGCAAAAGAATATTCTAACATCTCCAGTGAAGAAATAAATATTATAATAAACTGTAGAAGATTTGTTCTCATCTACAAGAAAGAAAAAGGGTTTAAGAACTTTAATGATTACTTTGATGTTTCAATGGGGTCATTAGATTCTGATGTCTTCTAACCTGGTGGGTTTATTTATCCTATATAATCTTAGCGCTTATTATGATCTTAATGTTGATAATATTGTGTTATACAGAGATGATGGATTTACGGTAGTAAAAACTTCTACTAAAATTAAGGTTGGTAAATAAGGGATAATAGAGGATTAAAAAGTTTAAATCTTAAGATTAAGATCTAATGTTGATGTATTCCAACCTGATAGGAAAAATAATGCCAACGCAATATATAGTCATCACAATTTTAACCACCCTCCATAAGTAATCAAAAATATACCTCCCTCTATAGAACGTAGGAATAGCAACCACTCCTTTGACAAAGACGTGTTTCATAAATATAACGGTGTTTATCATATTGTTTAGTAGAGTAATGGATAGCGGCGAGGATTGAGGAATCAGAGAGCCGAGTTCCAGTTCCAGTCGAATTCATAAAATACACTTACGTGCTAGTATCTCTGTAAAAGGTATGAATCGTCGACTTTTCTCTCCAGCTGTGGGTAAATAGCAGGGCAAACCGGGTTCTATAACCTTGGATGGCAGCTGGTCTGCCGCATAAATAAATGGCAACCTACTGCGGGAAAAATCTGCCTCGTCAGTCATGTATTGAAAGTTACAGGATTGCCTAAACGTGTATCACGCATGGCAAATAACTGACTGATTAAAAGTACGCTGAAGTATAGAAAATATGATGAGAGTGGTCTAAAGAAAAGAAATAGAAAGAGGAAGGTCATTTGATACATACCCCCGTTTAAACAACAGTCAGTACTTAGTTGATCCAGAAGTCCCTCTATTTAATTGATAAAAATTCCCGTAAAAGTAACCCTCTTAGTAAAATATATAACAGAAACACATTAAAACTAAGTGATAGTTGCACTGATAACCTTGAGAAGATTATAAAGTTTCACCATAATAAAATATTAATGCAATTTAAAAATTTGAATCATAATACACGTTCCAATATAAATACTATTGATAATACTAACTAATGTAATTGTAGAAATTCTGACCAATGTCCGTTACCAAAGAAATGTTCAATTAAATCTCTAAGTGGTGTCCACGTATCTTGTCCCTCAACAATAGTACTTAGAAGAAATAACACATCACTTTCTAAATATTTTTGTACTTTAAAAGAAGCTAATAAAACTCCTAAGGTAAAATGGAGAATTTTAAAAATAGCTAGAACATGTAGATCTTTATATGAACCCTGTATTCTGTGTTTACATGGAGAATTTGAAAGCATCATATTTCGATAAAAAAAAAACTACTTAGTAAATCAAAGAAGTGAATTAATGGTAAACTGTAGACTTAGTCTACATTTTACCTTTCAATTTAAAATTTGGAATTTGAGAATGCCTTCTTTATTTTAGTAGACGAACTGCGATGCACATTATACTGCTTATTTTCGTATTTGTAAGATTAATTTAGATTTAATATAGATCTGTATTAATCTCCTTATTATTAACATCTTATAGGTACTGGTATTAGTATTTTTTGATATCTTGCATTGACTGTTTGGCATTATTAACATATTATATGGATTCTGTTTACTTAACGGTTGTATCTTATTTTGTTAAATAATTCTATACCTTTAAATTATTTACTACTTCCTTATAGAGACCTTATTTATCAACTACAAAAGTTTGACGTAGGAAACTCAAAAAACATATAGGTAGTTATATTAGGTTAAATTACTTACCTTCCGGCTCCGCTTTTATTTCTTGGGAAATGTGTTTGTCAGTCTTGTATACACTTAATATCGTAACCATCTGCAGCAGCTTATAATATAATGTCTACGATCTATTAGCAGACAACTTTCCTTTTTTTTTCCTTAGTTTGAATTAGCGATTAACGATTGGTTGATCATAGTAAATTCTTCAAGCCTATTTTTCTCAAAAGACGATGATGTTTTTTTGCCTTTAAAATTAAATTAATCGTTCACTCGCCAGTAATTTACAATCACATGAGGAGACGCAATGGTATGCGTTGAATGACGATCGCAATTGAAATATAGCGATTTTTTTGACGTTTTTGATTTAACATTCCAAAATAAATAAATCTCTCTGAATCACATACACACATACTCTCTCTCTCTCTCTCTCTTGATATATATATATATATATATATATATATATATATATATATATATATATATATATATATCAAGAAAGTGATAGATTATTTTTTATTATTCCGACAGATTTTATTATTAATCGTTTTTTAAAGGATATTCGTAGAGTAGACGCTCATTTTGTTTATTAAACATAATATTTGTTTTCGGCTACCGTCTTGAATATTCTAGACATCGTATTAGAGAAAAGTATGCGGTCTCAGAAAGGGTTCGACCTTGAGATCACCTTCATTATATACATACATACATACATATATATATATATATATATATATATATATATATATATATATATATATATATATATATATATAAGCAAATATATGGATATAGATCCGACAGTATGAGGAAAAAATACACAAAAAACAAACAAAAAAATTATATACAATTATATTTGTTTTTAATGTTAATATGTCAATGTCGGATGTTTCGGTCTAATAAACCATCTTCAGGACATAATTATATTTTATGAATATGTCCTGAATACATCATGGTTTATTAGACCGAAACGTCCGACTTTTGATATATTAACATTAAAACAACATAATTGTATATAAGGATTTTGAAGTTTGTTTTTTCCGTATATCAAATATATATATATATATATATATATATATATATATATATATATTATGATATATCGCACATATAATGTTGGTGTTAATAACACATTTATATATATATATATATATATATATATATATATATATATATATATAAATGCATAAATAAATATGAATAATGTGTTATGAATACCAATAACTATAACGTTTCTAGTAGTTGCCTACTTCTTCTACACACCGCTGGCGAATCTTGTCCTAAGTATTATCGTTCATTACCAACCTTCGTGTGATCATTCTGTTCAGTAAACTTACCTAGGTTACAATATATATATATATATATATATATATATATATATATATATATATATATATATATATATAAGCAAATATATGGATATAGATCCGACAGTATGAAGAAAAATATACAGAAAAAAACAAACAAAAATTTTAATATGCAATTATGCTGTATTAATGTTAATATAAAATCAACGTCGGACGTTTCGGTCTATTTAAGACCATCTTCAGGACATTTAAACATAATTAACATTAGAACATATAAAAATTTAACACAAAAGACGATGGACATAAGTGCACAACTAATCCAAACAGATAACTGAAATTTTTATACAAGATCAGCGTTCCGTTTAAATATGATCACGTCGTCGTATTCGAATACGTTTTCACAACATCGCCCAAATGACGATGTTTAAATAAAAAATATTCCTGAAGATGGTCTTATATTTTTTTGGAAACAGTCAATGATTTGACTTTATATTAACATTAATGCAGCATAATATATATATTTTTGTTTGTTTTTTCTGTTTTTTTTCATATATATATATATATATATATATATATATATATATATATATATAGGAGAAGGACAATTCTGAATTCAAAACCTGCGGAGGGTCGTTTGGGAACCTTGTGGCACTCGGTGCACCAGGTCTCTGTATCCGTCCCTTCAAAAAAGTGTGGATGGTCCTTCACGAAGCCTTCACCAATATAATCAAATCTCATGTGCCGGTGTCGGGCTGTCGGTTTCCTGGAAACTGATCTGTTTTGACCCTCATACGTCGAATCTCGAGTGTCGACTATATATATATATATATATATATATATATATATATATATATATATATATATATATATATATATAATAGTTATTGGTATTCATAAACATTCTTGATATTTATTTATGCAGGGCGGGTGATCGAGAGCGACTGTTTAGTAGGCTACGTTTTCGACCCTGGAAAATTTGTTAGGGAGACAGATTCATTTTAATATTAGCCCGGAAAACAATTTCAAGTAATCGTGACCGAGAGTTTTCGTGTACTGTCTTTGTTCAAAATGATGATCACGCTAGATTATGCGTGCGTTAAACGATCACAAATCGCCTGAGCTGGCGTCTGTGGCGTGTCAACCTATCAGGTAACGCATACTTGGAAAACGTGTGGCCAGACATAGAATTGATATCCATTATATACCGTTCTATAACGATCGTCATGGGTCCTCAGAAATGTACCCTTTAGAACAGAACCAATATATTTTAATGTAGCTGAACGATAGAAACACGACGTTCGGAATTGCAGGTTGAACAGAGATCATAAAACAATCAAAAAAGGAAATTGAAAAATAAGTGAAGAAATAATAACAATGTATGTATATATCTACCACTCGTCCTTCATTTAAATAGTGCTGCCATTTCTATTCTGGAGATCCTGCTATATATTTAGAGATTCTTGATAAAATCTTAAGAAGAATCGAACACTCAAAAAGGAACCAACATTCCCTCTTCGCAAGTTTTCAAAATTAAATCCTGAAAGTCACTATAAGCCGCACATTGCCGCATATAAGAGACTAGCAGCATGGCCCGGCGTTGACCGTGCTTGATTCAAAAATCGTACGACCCATACAACAATCACTATCACTTGACTTAAAATATTTTTGCCCTTCCTTGCCTTTAAAGGAGTTCTCTTTGCTGTGCTGATGTTGCTACATGCCTTACTTCTTGCCGATTTCACACTGCGAATTTTTTCTAAGCTCTATACTAAACATTAAATCTGTTACGAAAAAAGAACTAAACAAAATGAACACAAAACGATCAGCTTTAAAAAGGACTCGTAACTGGAAAAACCGAATGAAAAAGAATGTTAACAACAAATACTTTTTCACACCCAGCCCAGTTCTGCGGAATCAGAATCAACGTTGAGTTTAAGCAAGCGAATGAGCCAATTGGAGTAAAGTGCCATGCAGATTTAAATTTTTCCCACTTGTGACGAATGCAGATATCGATTTTATTGCATGCTAGCATGCTAGTTAACATTCGTGTCAGTCAGCTGTTGGCTCTCACTCTGGCCAATAGAATCTTCCTGCCTATTCGTGGCAGCCAGCTACAAAATGACCGGAAACTACATGAAAATTACCATAGAAGCATAAAAAAATCGATTATTTCCACTATCGATGGAAGTTGGGAAATACAATGTCAATCTTGGCCTTCCCACTAACGTGAAGCATGTGCGTGTAAATTTTGGTACAAATTCGTCGAAAATTGCGGACGTACATTCCTTACACACACACACACACACACACACACACACACACATCCTGCCTTTTATAGATTGAACTAATTTTAGATGCAGTTTGCATTCTCTCCTGACCAAGCCACGGTTTGTTAATTCATAATCTACAGCAGTGAATACGAAATAACTTTCCGAAGACCCTAGACTCATGTACATTCATCACCTCTTATAAAGGAAATGTACACTCTAATTCAAGACGATTTAATAAACTTTCTTATCCTTTCAAAAATAATTCAAACAATATTGTTTCCCTCGCCCTAATCAAACTGACGCTATCTCCCTTGGCAACAGCACCAATTATCAACAACTTCCATTGTGGAACAGCTGACTGTAGTGCAGTCGTTCTGGCGGTGGGGAGTATAACGTGTTAGCTTTCGATCCTAGAAGATATGTTAAGGAGGTGAATTGGCCTGAGGAGACGTTCAAAGTAATCTATCTCTATGTCTTAGCCTTTCCACTATCTATCTATCTATCTATCTATCTATCTATCTATCTATCTATCTATCTATCTATCTCTGTTCATTATGTGACTGTTCTCATGCAAGGACTCCTGTGGATGTTGTCCTAGTCTTGGTGTTGATTCCGGTTGGTCATTCCGCTATAACGCATTCTTTTCGTTTTTTGTGGACATGCAAAACCCATTTTTCATTACTTGAAAGGGAGACTGAGAGGTTTAGCGTACTACCTCTCTTCAAATTAAATGATACGCTGTATCTAAGATCTTCTAAACATAGTTGCAGCATGAACAACAGAATAGCGGGTGTTGAACACAAATCTCCCTGAGCAAGCCCATGCGGTAGGCCATCCTAGCGGACATAGCTGGAAACGAAGCGTCAGACTTACATTTGATACTTATTATTTAAAGTTATGTGACAATCGTCATGGCGGTAAAAAATATAACCCCAGAACAGAACCAATATATTGTAATGTAACTGAACGATTGAAACACGATGTTGGGAATTGCAGGTTGAACAGAGATCATAAAACAATCAAAAAAGAAATTGAAAAAAGAAAACAGCAAGGTCCAAAGAAAATTGAATTCAAGAATGTCATTATTATAAATAAAACAATGTGATGAAGACATAGAAAGATAATTAACAAAGGTCCTGGGGGAGAAGCCGACGTTTCGAATGGCAAGACGGGAAAAAGAGAACATAAATAAAGAGTTGATTTCTTTTGTCTTCATTAATAGAATCGCCTTCCTTCTAAATGGCTGTATTTGACTGATTTTGTTGAGCGGCATATCAACCTCTATGGATTATTTAATGCCAAAATCTAAATATATATTTTGACCACAATTGTATGCCTTCAACTACTGATAAAATATATTGTTGGCCATTTTGCTTTAAAAATATAGTTGATAATTTTACTTAAAAAGTGTTGGTAATTTTTTTTATATATATATAAAATATATTGCTGCTATTTTTACTATAAAATGTATTCTTATACTTTCATTTCAGCAATGTCGGGCCTGGTCAGTACATAGATGGGTAGTTGGTTGGTTCAATGGTTTAACGGCATATCAACATCTCTATGGGTTATTTAATGCTGAAATGTAAATACTTTGGACAAAATTTAATTGCTTCAACGACACATAAAATATATTGCTGATAATTTTGCTTTTAAAATGTGTTAGTCGTCGTTTTACCATTAACAGGTATTGTTGGTCATTTTTTACTAAATTAAAGTAATTTTGCTATAAATATGTATTTTTATCCTTTCATAGTCTTTCGTTTAGAGATTAACACTTTGTCCATAGCTCGGAGCCTAACACGTGCCACCAACCCGTGTCAGGATCGATCTGGGAACAACAGAGGTGGTCCCACGTTCCTTAAAGCTTCGATCTCCCGATCTGAGGGCCTTGCATCCGAATGTAGTTTATTGTCATGCCTATGATTTCTAGTTTGTATAGCTTAACGAGATCTCACGTTTAAATTTTAAAACTTCTTTGCATTCAAATTTTCTGAAACCCATTCTAATGGTCGACCGAAGGGAAACAGCTCGAGGTATAAAATCTGGTGCTTATAGCAGATACGGAAGATATTCCATTCGTAAGGATTTGCTTTCTTTTTTAAGTTTGCTATCTAATGTGCCCCCTTGTTATGCTGGAGAATAACATCTTTTCGTTTTATCAGAGCAGGCCAATTTTGGTTTATTGATTCCGTTAGCGTATCGCAATAATTGGAAATAAACGTCTGCAGTGATTGG